AAGAAAATGGAAGAAGTGGGTAGACCCAGTTTTTGCAACTTGATCTTGTCGTCAAGGCGACTTAGTTGAACGCATTTTGTCCGAACTCTTCTGCCATAGTGGGTAGCAAAAATTCCCAGCATTAGATCGGGGACTTGGTACATTCTCATACGTTTCGTCGGCATTCTAGTCGGCATCATCACTTCATCATCCTGCCATTCTCCGCACCAACTTACAAACTCATCAAAGAGACAAGTCAAGTCAATCCCACAATCGAATGAGTAGGCCTCATTGTTGTACCTACTTTCTCTCAGACAGGAGCACAGTTTCGACCTCGCCTAGGCGTCATCATCACCTCCAATTGGGTTCGACGTTGCTGTTGTGTGCCACGACACATCCAAGGTTAATTAAGTATCTATTAAGGAATGATTGATAAACGTGGAATCTACTTGTACCGGGAATAATAAACATTGTCCGTTGCGATGACAAGTGCATATTTATTTTCGTATTTGAGTAGAGTTTTGCGACTAGCAGTAAATCAGTAGTATGATATGTATTCACCCAATTTCGTTTAAGGTGATGAAGAACTGGTAGTTGAATTTTACAACATTTATATGAGTTGAGCTGACGTTTTCATTGAATTTTACATAGCACTGCTTCATTCATAGGGCGAATACAACTCATATATTTGATTACAGTCTTTCTATATTTTACCAACTTCTAGACTCAATTGTGCTGACTATTCCAGCATAAAGACATGACAATACCATCAATGCTTTATTTTTATTTCCAACCGCTTCAAGAGTTTTGGTATACTACTGAAATGAGCTATTTTTGTTGCAAGTGATATCAGAGTTTTTTCACCTACTTTGGTATATTTCTTATAATTTCGCCTGTTTTTGGGTTAATTTTATGGCAAATTTCATAGTGAACTCAGAGCCAGTCATGCCATATTTCTTCCAATTAACCTGCTCACCAAAATAATCCCACAATCAGCTCCACCGGTCTCGCATCCCAACGGTGACCCAGTTGTCCGGTGCTCGCACACACCCTAGTCTGCATCAGATAACGCCTTTTAACGGTTGCGTTGTCCGTCATGCTGCAGACTCATGGAAGACCGGTCTGTTTGGGAGCAACAGCAGGCCATCCCCCGGGACCTCCTCAACCTCGACTTTATCCTCTTTTATATGAGCCTCCCAGCATGACGACAGTTGTGCATGCCCACATGTTTGTGCATGTGTATGTGTATGTATGTATGCATATGTGCTTATCCTTGCACATACTCAAGTGGGCATGTGAAGGTGAGGTATGTCTGGGCAAAAGCTCGCGACTGTTCAATACGGAAATGTAGCTAATGCTGGCATTATGCTGGTCGCTTAGCATACATGCCCGTCCACCTGATGCCTTCCATCTTCATGCAGCATGTCTACCAAAGTTGGGCAAACTGGGTGCAGACATCTCTTTTTCATCTTTCTTTAAAATTGTCCCAACTCAACGCGGCGGCAATGGTGGGTCGCCATGGCGACTGAGTGTTTACCAATTGGCGAAGTGGACAAGACAGTGTGGTACAGCAGGAAATGGTGGCCACGTTTGTCGCAATGTTGTTCTGCGACAGGCCCACCGGAAGTGAGTGCATTGGTGGGAGTAAAGCGTCGCGAACAGTCGATCTGTACCGGTTTGTAGACGACGCCTGTTCGTCGGTTTTGGATGGAGGAAACCTTTCAGGCTGAGGTGAGGAGGAGAAGCGGCCTTTTTTACTCATTTGCAGATCAGTGGACTGGCAAAAGTGCTGCAAATCGCACGAATTTCGGCAACATGGCACTTGCAGATGTTGCAGCTTTGTCATTCTCACCTTATTTGAACCCCTTGCCTCCAGAACCTGCGAGTCTGCGAGGCAGAAGCGTGAGTTTTGGTGGAAAAATTGCTTCCCCGTTAAGGCCTGGCTTTAATGGCTTCGAGGAGCGGTGGTCAACTGGCCGTCAAGCACAATGGATCTGGCGTACCAAAACGCGAACACCGAATTGACAACCGATGAGGAGGTTTCGGCAAGTCTGTAGCAACACTGGTCCTGTGAGCGGAAAAAGGCGAAAATACGGCCCAATTGATGCATAGTTGAAGAAATGGGCATTTCCAAATTCGCCAAAAGAAGAGGCTTTGAGGGTCTTTGCCGTCATCGTCAAGTTGGTCTCTGATTGGGACTTTGCACAGAACACAGATTTCTCTGACGCTCAGTAGATCAGTAGTATGAGATGTATTCAGCCAATTTCGTTTAAGGTAATGAAGGACTGGTAGAAGAAGAATTTTCCCACAATCATATGAGTTGAGCTAACGTTTCCATTGAATTTCGCATAGCCTTGCTTTTGCCAAAAGTTGTTCTCATCCAGGCCTTGTTTTGCCA